AGCCAAAGGAGACAATTCTGAATATTTGTTGTAATTGTTGGTTTTAATTTCTCAAAAAATTAAAGAAATTTTTTTCGCATCCTCTACATTAATTTGGGAAGACTTGTACACTAATTCATTAGAAATTACATTATCAAAAAGGATATACTGTGCCCAACTAGAGTACTATATGAAAGGGACAAGTGTAGTATAAGATCTCTATACTTTTATATTCTATCGACATATATACAAAAAAGAACTTAGAAACGTAGTTTCTCATAATGCTGTGACCTGTAGTATAACCCATAAATGGTTAAAAGTGTTGAGCAGTCATAAAAGTGTAGACATGAAATTTACACGTAATTTAGCTCCAAGAACATACAATCTGTTACCACTGACTATACAACGTGGTAAGTATTATAGGAAGTTTTCTTAACAATATAGGAAATATATGTGAAAACAACGATTAATTTATCAACCTGCTGAAAATTCAGGTTTTGATTGGGAGTTAGCGAAGAAATTAGAAAGGAATCATTAATTAATCATAATCATTATTATTAATTAATCATTTTACTAATAATTATTATTGCACAAGTTTAGTGTTACGTCACATAGGTGCAGGTAAGAGAAGTTAAAAAATGATGTAAAATACATTCATTCTATAAACACATTACATAAACCATTATGTTCTTTATTTTACTTATATATAAATTACCATTATGTAAACCATGTACACAAATGGTCTCATGCATGGTTTGCTTGATGGTTACAATTTTAGAGTCAAACACAGTAATTTTTACCAAGTTTGGTTTATTTGAATTATTATTATTTTAGTTTTACGAGGCAATAAATTTCAAAATTATTAAGTGGTACTTTAATGGCAGTGCAGTTAAAAGATAATAAATATAGTTTATAACAGTAAGTTTTAATGATGCTTTTTAATAATTATAAAATTCTATGTTTGTAACGAATTAACAATGAATAAAACAAATAAAAAGAATACAACTCATGCTATTATATTTTTTGCTAAAATGCCAGAAAATTGCCAAATTATAACTGAGATATAACAGAAAACAACTCTCTACGGGCTATCTGCCCCAACCAATACTGGACTTCGTATCTTGCTAGAATTGTTCGTCAGTCAAACCACCAGACATATAATTAATGGTTTAGGAATTATTAGTCTTTATTAGTACGCCATAGGTGAGACAACTGATGAATAATCTTAACTCAAGACATATACTCAGTTTCAAATTAATTAAATATCAAATCTGATCTGATGTGTCAAATCAAAGATCTCCTTAAGGAGGCATATACAATTACAACGATTAGAAAATCGATTTTTTTTGATATAGAAGAATAACTTCTGAAAGTTTGAAAGCGAAATTCAAAAAACTCCGAAAGTTACAGCCTGTAATCGTTGTGTATGTCCACTCGGGTTCAGAGCGCACGACGCAGGTAGAAACAAGAGCGCGCAGGGGCAGGTATACTCGTTGACCAGATATTTGTAGAATTAACCGTATTCGGACAAGTTTCGGGAATAGCCGCCCAAGTTTGTTTACAGTTTATAGTTGTCCTTTTAGCTTGGTTTTTCACGTGTCGAAAGTTTAGACGCATTTTTCTCGAAACTACATTTCTTAAACTGATGTACACGATTACGCAAAAACTATTGAACAGATTGAGTTTCCTGTTGGTTGAAATGTTGATAACATTATTACTTTTGGAAACTAAATTTGGAAAATTTCGAAAAAACTATTTTATTTTTACAAATTCTGCAAACAAAATCAGGCATGGAGCTTTTGTACTAGTTTTCAGATACTACAAACAATTAAAGTTTGATGTAACTAACACCTAAACTACAAAAAAATTGTATATACAGGATGTTATAATTTGGTTTTATAAAATGCATTTAAAACCTTGTCTAGTCCATCACTGGGCAGCTCCCAAACTCAGTCGTTTTACGTGCTTATCAGTATTACCTGTTACCTATATGAAAGTAACGGGTTAACAGAAACTGCAATGGAAAATAATTTCATAGAAACAAATTTTTTGCTGAAGACTTCGCGACACGTTATTCTTTTGGCGTAAATGCAGATATTTTTTGAATGAATTTGAATTAAAATAAAATACTTATTAATTTGGTACGTTGGAAATATTTTTTAAGATCATTAATTTATGAATTTCACTGACAATGACCTCTGACGTTAACCTAGTTTATGTGAATTACATAATATCAATCCATTTGATGTGATAGGACAACAGAGTATTAGGAGGCAAAAAACAAATGGCCAACATTAATTCAGTGAAATGAGAATTGCCGAATACGTCAACGCTTTATTTCATTACATTTTAGTTTTTATTTTAACTGTAATACAGAAGGTAACTTCACAATTTACTGCGTTTTTATTTAAATTAAAAGGATTTTGCAGGATAGTGCAGTGTCTGTTTTATTAAATTTGATTTTATTGTAAAATTTAAAATAGTATTTCGTGAAGTGAATAATGTAGTTCAAGTGTAACTTATAAAGTTATTTATTTCAATGTTTAAAGATGGTGTGGTGTGTCTACATAGTTAAATTTCTGTCGACATTATGAAAAAATTCAGTAAAGAAATTAACTTCACTTTTCCATAAAATTGAAAATGTTTATTGTCACATAATAAAGTTGTTGAAAAGTCGGCAATTTTAAAGAAAAAGTGAAGTTGTATTTTCATTATCCAAACCCATGAATTTCTTTTGCAAATTATTGTCAGAGGTATAATATTCTTAACAAGGTTATGGAAAAAAAAGTTGAAATTTGACTATAATGCTTGCTGTAGCTCCTAGTTGAGTATGCATTCGCAGTTGTTTGAAATTACACTAGTCTGTCCAGTAGCAGGGTATAAAAATTATGAAAAAAAAGGTTAAAAGAGAGTTCAGTTTTGACGTATTTGAGAGAAAAACTTTCGATACAGTTTTAAAGGTAAAAAAAGCCATACCTAGTATATAAATATGATTCCCAATCAACATTATACCCTGTATTATATAGGGTGTACCTCGGGAAAAAAATTTTGATCAACAAATCAACCAAGAGAAATCGCTGGAAATAGTTTTCAAGTTCGTAGCTTGGCCGCTAGGGGGCGCAATCTTTATACCAAAAGATTATATATTAAATAGTACAAATATGGATAGCCAGATTCATTGCGAATAACTTTTGTCATTGACATATTGTTCCATCTCTCGCCAGAAAGGGAGGGGGAAGCCCCTTATGTCTGATCAGAAAAATTCATTTTTTTAAGGATTGGCTCATTAAAAGCCCATAGTGTTGCATCTCGTTGGAAAGGCCTTTTCATGCTTTATTTTGTGGTGATTTGGTAATGATTTGTCAATATGGAAACCTATAGAAGGCGTTATTTCAAAAGGATTTTAAGAATTTTTCTCAAAAATTTTAAATGCAATGCTATACTTTCCTTTACATGAATTCAGAATATGAATGAATGAATGAATGAATAAATTGATAAATAGTGAAAAAATAAATAATGATAATGAATTGAAGAACACGACGCTAACGAAAAGATATTTAATTACCAAAACAAAATGCATTTATAAAAGAACCAAACCTAACCAAGCAGCGAAGGTTAAATTCCTGTATTAAAAATAATAGTATGCATTTTGAGCATTTTTATACATCTTTACTTTTGTTAAAATTTAATTGCTCTTTCGTTGGATAATCTCAATATCAGTTTATTTGTTTTTGTTATTATTTTCAAGATTCTTATTGATTCAGTCATTTGCGTGGGTTTAGGTAGGTTCTTTTATAAATGCATTTTGTTTTGGTACCTAATTAAATGTTTTTTCGTTAGTGTCGTGTTCCTCAATTCATCATTATTTATTTTTTGCTCACTAATTTGGGAATAACTTGATAACAAAAAAAGATATCGAACCCTTTTTAACGTCAAAATTTAACTATTTTTATGCTCTTCAAATAAACTTATAAAAAATTTTATCCTGCTATTTCACTTTTTTAAGAAAACGTGAAACAACTTAAACATGGACAAATAGCGCCAATAAATAAACAACGCTTTTGTTGGAAATTTCAAACTTATACTACACTCATTAATTTTTTGTGCTGAATTCATTTATGTAAAGAAAACTATAGCATTGCATTTTAAATTTTTGAGAAAAATCCATAAAACAGCATTATTTTGAAATAACGCCATCTACAGGTTTCCATATTGATATAAATGACATTAAGCTTTCACCATGACATAAAGCATTAAAAGATCTTTCCAACGAAGTATAACACTACGTGCTTTTGATGAGCAAATCCTTAAAAAAAATGCAATTTTCTGATCAGATATTAGGAGCGTTTCTGAGAAAAATTCAACTCTATATTTTGGTACGTAAATCCTTTAAAATATGCAATTTTCTGATCAGACATTAGGAACATTTCTGAGAAAAATTCAAATCTGTTTTGGTATGCAGATTGCGCCCCCTAGCGGTCGAGCTACGAAAACTATTTCCAGTGATTTCTCTATATTAATCAAAATTTTTTCCACGAAGCTCAAGGGCTTATACTTTCTCTAATATCATACCTTGCCGACCTTAGCTTGATATCCTGTATAGCAAAATGTTTAGAAACGTCATACAGAAAACGACATTTGTCAAACTGTCATTTTAGGGCAAACGAAAAAGTAGGTTGTGGTACTTGGTCGAACTAAGAACCTCCAAGTTTGTTATGACAACATCTGGTCAATTTAATACTTACTACATCTATTCTGAAGTTAATTATTTTGCCATCCTCCAATCTTAGAAACCTTACACATATAAACCAATAATTAACCATGTTCTTGTGTTGAAATGATTTTTTTTAGCTTCGAATTTTTGGCTAGGCAAAACTTGTTTGATAAAAACAACCCTTGACCGATCCATTTATCACAAAGATTTAATTAATACATTTTAAAATATCTTTCAATGTGGCAAATCACCCAAAAAACAGAAAACACGAATCCAACTTGATCTGGCTTATTACAATGGAACTCACCAGATTTCTTAACTAAACAATGGGCTGCCAGCAGTTTGAGGCTATGCACCTCAAAGAGCAAAGGGTGGAAGAGTAGCTCCTTGGCGGTGGGCCTCTCGGCAGGGTTCTTCCTCAGACACCGCAGGATGAAGTCCTTCTGCTGCTCGTCCTCCAAGGATTCGATGGTTTTGGTGATGTTCTCCTCAGTCACCTTGTTGCCGGAGTCGCCGTTACCTACTATCTCGAGAGCGGCCATCTCCAGGGAGCACATGCCGAACGAGTAGATGTCGATCGCGGGACCCATTATTGCTGCAAAGGAAACAGAATCGCTCATTAGGAATTTGTAATGCAATACATGATATACAGGTGTTATTAAAAAGTAGGTCAAGGCGTTAACCATAAATTCTTTGAGGGACTACAATGGGGCTTAAAATATTTAAATAAAAATAACTTTTAAATAATTATAGACAACATATGTCATGAAATTAATTTTTGAACAACGCCAGATGTGGTATCGTCTTAAGCGGGAATATCCGAGTAGAAAAAAATGTTTTTTCAAATTTCTTTTTGGTCATCTTGAATTTTGTAATCTTAAGGATATTGTATGTAAATTTCAAATTGAAATTCCAATAATTATAGTTACGGTAATTTAACGAAATGCATTAGACATCAAGGTAGAAAGAAAAGCTAATTAGCATTGCGAGATCAAAGATGCAGAACGTGTGCGTTCCACCGAAGTTAAAACTCACAACAATGCAACCTCTGAAGGGAGGATTTAGCAAAGGTAGTCACAGATCGCAGCAGAAGGCGCTGCCTCAGATTTACGGTAAAATAAAAAAAAACTTACTATATAAATAAAAATTTAAATGTTCATTGGTGGTGTTGGTGTATCACTTGAGAACGGCTGGACCAATTAAGCTACTTTTTTTTACATGTTCGTAATAAAGTTTTATCGAAATAAAAATTGGAAAAGTTGACTGGAAAATTGGAAATTCGGGAAATACTGAAAGTGCTTATTACAAACAAAGGAGGGTTAATAAGACCAGTTTTTGGCCTTATCAGAAATTAATCCTAAACATATGAAATATGTTTTTTTAACCTAAAGCAACAATATTAAATCGATTCTAGGCAAAACGGTTAAAACTCTTTTAACTTTTTTCCTCTTCTACGTAGCCCCTAAAAGATACTGAATAATATCAAAGAAATTTCAGAAAAAGATTTATCTGTCGTCTAATATAAACAATATTGAAATGTTTCTAGTTTAAAAGTAGGTCAATCCACCTCTTTCTATTTGAGTGTCCATCCCGTATATCTTTTTCTTCCTTGTACCTCCATCAGGCATTGCGAATACTTTACTCACATACAGAGTTTCTTCGTCGGATACAACCACCCACTGTGTAAGACCGTATAGTTAACCGTGAAGTGCTGGCGGTCGGGAGGTTTACTTATAACTAAATCTAGTAGATTATTTTTTCTAGACCTTTAAATAAATGTTTTTACATGATGTGGAATTTCTTTTATATTCAATTCTTTACTTAAGTGTCTTTTAGAGGTTATGCAGTTGAGTGGGAGGGGGGATAGAGAGGGAAAATAGTAAGAGTTAACTTTTATGATTATAAAGAAGTATTTTTACTTAAATTATGCCCGAAACATATTATTTATATGATTCTGTATATCAGATGTAAGAAAAATGCTTTTATTACATTTCTAAGCATTTTTAATGTTTGGGTTGGGGGGTTGTATCCGTTTTGCCTAGAATCGATTTAATATTGTTTCTGAAGATCCAAAAGCATATTCCATAATGATTAGGATGAATTTCTGATAGGGCCGAAAACCAGTCTTATTGACCCTTCTCCTTTAATGAAATTTGGGCAGGACATCACCTAATATCACCTACACATATTTAGAATTTTTTACAAAAATCAATTTTTTCAAAAAAAATTCTCCAAGTTGTCTATGAAGAAAATCGTGTGTATATTTTATATCGATGGTTCCCAAAACATTCGAAAAACAGCTCGACCAATTGCTTCCAAAATTAGGTACAATATTTTTGTACAGGTTTTCTACTTGGGAACGTAGGATTTTTTTTCAATTATTTTTAATTATCGGGAACACAAATTTCTTTTAAGCTGGAGCGCAATCACTCGCATCGCACTGCAGGAGTGCTTACTGTAATTCATGAGAACACACTCGATAGTTGACTATTATATAACGCAGATTAAAGCTCAGATCGGCCGAAAAGAAAAGGATAAAAAAATTGCAGGCATCGCTAATTAAAAGTACATATACATATAACGAATTCCTTATATTTAATGGCAACAAAATCTTTAAAAGCGTTTTTCAAGAAACTACTTTTTTTAACCCATTAGCAGCCTACAGAATCTTATGTCTACAGTCCAGAGAATGTACTAGTATTTTTATTTAATTAAAAATAATATTGTTATATTATTTTTTTTAAAGAAAATATGGTATTTAAAACTTTTGAACACATTTTCAAACAAATATTGTTCTAAGTTAGTAAAAATGAGCAACTATTTTTTAGCCAGGCGTAACTAAAAGATCTATTTTGATACTCATGTTTTCAAAACGATGGTCATAATGATACATATATGTATTGGATGCGTATTTGCACCTTTGGCTGATAACGATCGACATATTTATTCATTGCTATGCAAGTCTGGACAAATATCAGCATGTAAAATACAGGACTTGTCAGAACATCTATCAATTCATTATTAGCAGAGTGTACTTTTCCGTTTTCCTTTGTGTAAAAAAGTGTAGTTTTGTATAAAATATTATTTGAACTAAAGTTTTTTGTAATCCATAATAGTTATTTTTTTGGATACATCTATTGCCAATATGAGGTGAGATTTTTTATTTGTATAGAAACTATAGAGGTATTTGTCAAAATGGGAAATGAAAAGGGCACTAACCACTTGTTCTGTTAGAAGAGGATTCAGATTGTGAAAATGCTAAATCGGTTGATGATGTTCATGTGCCGCCAGAAACAGATGAAATTACAGATGAGGAAAGTATGAAAATACTATTGGAGAAGAGGGATTGCCGACGGATATTTCAGGAACGTTTGAAATACAGTCAAGTACCTATAGAAGACAGTGATGATGATTTGGAAGATGACGTTCCACTAAACAAAATCTCAGCTAAAATTTCTTTCGGATTTAGCACTCTCTTTGCTAAAATATTACGGAGATACAGAAAACACCGATGTTGCTTCAAATACCGCAGTATTCAACTGAACCCATGGAAGACCATCTCAATTCGCTCTACCAGGTGAAGTCAGATTTGACAAGATCTAGCATATTACTCGTATAATTAGAAAGGTTAAGAATGCAAGAAAAAAGTGGCGATTTTGCAAAAATAATACTATTTATTTGTATAAAGTGCATTTGCATCCAGCTTGCTTTGAAAATTTTCACATAAAAAACCAATTTAGTTTTATTAATTTTAATAACTGTTTCCAGCCAAAGGCACCTATGTGTTTTTGTTTCAAAATACTGTATATGATTTTTTTTAATAGTAAATTAGTCTTAATGTATGTGTTTTGAATACACTTTAATAAAAAGAATAATTAAAAAATATGTTTTTTCTTGTCTCTGCCAGTAATGGGTTAACTGGACGTAAGTAAACATAACTCAAAATATTTTCAATGAATCGACTTCAAATTTTGTATAGAGCTTCACAATAACATAATTCATGGAACAGCATAGTGATTTTATGGTTAATTAACAATTTTTATTGTTATTAACAATTTAACGCGAAATTCTTCGTCTCTCCGATATTTTGTTTGAATAATCACTAAATCGACAATTATTAATATTTTTTAATTTCCTAAGATGTTCCTTAGCTTTTAATATATATTATCATAAAATTTTTAATAAGAAACCTTTCCGGCCATACAGCCTCTGAAAATACATAAATAATGTGCCATTGCTTGTCATCACATATAGCCACCATTTTTAATCCAAAATATTTGAAAACATTTACAATACTACCTGAAAATATATACAACAAAACCTTTTTGTTCCTGATACTATATCTTGTATAGATTTTTCCTTGAAAATTCCCGAAAAGCACCTTTTTCCCAATCTCTAGTGGCGTTACCCCTTAAGTATATTTTGGAAATTTTATCCACTAAATAACAACAGTCTTTTTTTTTTAAAGTATATGTTTAACTTAGATTGGAATAGGTGGGAAGAAAAACCAAATTTATTAAGTCAATACCAATTTATTGTCTTTTTGTCCCTACAGTCCACAGTTACCCTTACATGAGCATTTATATTATTTGATATATTTAATAAAACTGTCCATAGTTGACTAACACCACAAACAGTTTATCAGATTATCATTCAAACGTATAACCGCTTTCTAAATATTAAGAATTGAACGAATCGATCCATTTTTGTTACATTTACTTGAGTAAATTCAATAACTTATTTTTGCATCATTGGGCAATTGTTCTATTGGTTAAACCCTTAAAAAATAATGTTTTCGCAGACTGCTTGTAATATTTTTTAGAAAAGAAGTTGGAAGACACATTTATTAAAAATACAATGGAACTGCAATGAGAATTAAACAAAATCTACAAAATATGGTGACAAGTAAATGTTCGAACGGAAGAGTTTGCTTATGATTTAGTAAATCGTAATGTCCCCTTTGACTTTTATAATAGTACAAATTCTCTTTGGCATGGTGTCCACTGAAGATCTACAAAACTCCAGAGTGAAACATTTCTAAATCTCCTGGATTTTTCTTTTGAGATCGGGAATTGTCAGGGTTATTTCCCAACAACTTTTTCATGTGGTATCATAACGTTTCAATGATATTTAAGTTGAGGCCGCTTGATTATCAATTCAACCTTAATATCATTGTCTCCAAACTATTTTTTTGTAAGCTTATGAACCATCCTGCTGGAAAATGAAATTTCTGTCACCACATTATGGTTCAATATCAATATCCAAAAAAGTTCATAACCCAAGCCCAAAATAATTTCATGTATTAAGTAAATACAAGTCATGTACTTGATCTAAAGAATGGTACACTCGCACGCATGCACTAAAAGTAGGAAGAAGGGAGAGAATAGATACTACAACCCCCATTTCTCCATTCACATTTCAAGATTATACAAAATATGTGCCGACATCACACAAAAGTCTGCGAAAAATTTCAGTGACATATCTTAAACACCAACAGCGTTACTACTAAAAATCTTAAATTCGATTTTTGATACTATGTATATTGAAAAAGAGGCGCTAAATTCCAAAATGGAATGAGGAGCCTTATTATTTTCCCTCAAGAATCTGTGGTTAAAAGCTAAACATATTTTTTTATAATACACTGTATTAAGGTAGTTATTATACATGAAATAAAAACAATTTTATATTTAAAAACTGTCTTTTAATTGATTCCAAGATATGAAGAAAAAAATAAAAATTTGCTAAAAAATATCAACAATACATATAGAAGTGATACATTTAAATCCAGAAAGCTATGATTGCAAACTTTGTCGAAGTTTTTAAGCTTTAAAGTTATGTAATGGAAGTTTGTACTATGGAGTGTATACACTCCATAGTTTATGCACTGCTAAATGTAACACATTCACAAAGAATATAAAGATGTACAGGCTGTCGCGAATTATAGGTGTACTGTGTACTGGCCGTTAAAAGTAGGTAAGTAAAAAATTAACACAGATCATATATTTTGACCTGTTAACAATTATAACAAGATCATTTTTTGCTTTAAAAAAAAAACAAATATTCTGTCTCCTTAAACACCTTTTATTTTATTGCAACTAGTTTCATGACAAAATTTTGACACATCTTCAGGGTAAAAAAGCTACACAATCGAAATTATATAAATTATAATATTTTAATGTTTTACAGTCAAATTTTAAAATATTATAATTTAGTAATTTCTTTAATTCCAATCGTCAAGACTTTTAGAGCTTGAAGATATGACACAGAAAAATATATGTTCTGTATATATATTTTAAAATAAATGATGTTTAATGAGGGAAAGTATAAACAAATTTCACAATTAATTTTTTTGATATCAATTTTTTTTTAATCTAAATAGCATTTTTTGTCTTAAATTGAAGAACATAAAGTTGTTATAAAAATGTAATTATACAGGGTGAGCCATTTAACTCTCTCGCTGCCAATATCTCCGAAATTAAGAAATTTTAGTTCCGGAAACTGGGGTTGTTAGGTCCCTTGAATAGCTTCAAATTGCAGTTAAAATTTTAGTTCAAATCTTTCTGTATAGATGGCATGGCGAAACCAAAAAATTTTCTGATTCCTGGAATGTGGAAATGCGGTCCATATGAAAGATCGTTAAATTTTGAGTAATTCTTGTAATATAAGGTTTTTCCCAATAGATACTTGTTTTCGAGACATGTCCACTTCAATATGCAATGTATGATGTAACAGGAAATATTCTTTTAAAATATTGTTATAATGGCTTTATTATAGCCATTTTAACAATATTTTATCTCAGTGTAATTTAAATAAAATAATAGATTTTCCTGTTACATCATACATTGCATATTGAAGTCGACATGTCTCGGAAACAAGTAAATCCTGGGAAAAACTTTATATTACAAAATTATTCAAAATTGAACGATCTTTCAGATGGACCGTATTTCCACGTTCCAGGAATCAAAAAATTTTTTAGTATCACCCTGCCATCTATACAGAAAGATTTGAACTAACAATTCTAACTGCAATTTGAAGCTATTCGAAAGACCTAACCATTCCAGTTTCCAGAACCAAAATAAATTTCTTCATTTCGGAGATACTGGCAGCGGGAGTGTTAAATGGCACACCCTGTATATACAAAATTATAATTTCTGGTACATTTCTGATTATTTCAATTATTTTCAAATTTTTCTTCAATTTATGTCAGAATCCTTAAAAACCAAAGGATGTGTGCTGTTTTAAAAAAACTGCTGATACAATTTTTCAGTTGGTTTGGTACCGTAACAAAATCTTAGCAGATTTAGGAACTGCAATTTTGAGGAACTTATAGATTCCAAATATGTTAATTCTGAATATCTATCTAATAAACATATTTGAAGGTTTTTTTGTTTTTTACTTACTATGTTAATGACCGGTACACCTATAAATCAGAACACTCTGTATACAGACATGCAAAAAGCAAAACCATCACCAAAAATGTATTACTAACAAATTGTTAAAAAAACATTAATAAAAGTGGACATTTTAACAAAGACAAAACAGGACTCGATTGGAGTTTTAGAAAAAAAAAATGCAATAAAGTTTAGTAAAATGCTGGAATTTTTTAAATTGTTCAATTACTTTTCCCCATTTTTTCCAAACTACAAACAATATGACAGAATTTGGTACTTACTGGGATGTTCAGGGGCAATGAAATGCATATTTTTGAAATCGTCCTGGCATGTTTTAACGTGATGGTTTATGGAATCAGGAGCCACTAGAGAAAACGAAAGTAGTAATTAGTAGAAGGCCTTTAGCTACAGAGTGGTGGCTGATAGGGACGGATCGCCGACAAACGGACCGTCAAACCATTCTCGAATTGAAACAAGTAAATATCAATGTACCGTATCCGACACTGACACGATTTAAAGTTTTGTCAGTAGGTGACACTCGAAAATGATTAGGGCACAGAACGAAGGCTTGCGCTTTACAGGGTATCCGCGTCTACTCGAAAGTCAGCGCGTGTAAGGCGCTGCAAACTCGCCTTACATACGCCAAACGCGCAGGCACGGATTAACACAAGCCTCAACGATCACACCCCTCACGCGCAGCTCAGCAGTTCCGACATTCACAAAGCTTTAAACAAGCGGTTATGTGTGTAACAAATAAATTATTTACTGTTGCATTAATAACTTTAAAAAATTTCTCCGAGGCATACGCTTGGATTTAAATATTTTTATTTTGGAATAACTGTTTCTCGACAAATTTATAAAAATTATAGCTACATACGGGGTAGTTCAGAAATATGTGCATAAAATTTGGGGAGTGATTCTACTCATAAAAACAACGGTACAACTATCTATGACACCTCTTTAAAAAGTGAATATTAACGAAGCAAAATGACCTCAAAAATATTTTCTTTTTCATTAATATCCAGCTGAAACTTTTTTTTCAGTTAAAAGATTTTCTTCAAATTTAGCAGATATTATTATTAGATTTAAACTATACCCACAAATAAAAATACTTAAAAAATAACTTTTTATACCCACTTTTTTAAATATAAATAAAAAAGAATATTTAAAATATATATTTAAAAACGTTATCTTATCCCAATTTGATAACAATAGCCACTTTAACCACTTCCAAAAAAAAAGCATATTTGATGTTTTGGGACAATAATTTATTACATTTTCTGTGCAAATTCCAAGAGTATTATTTTTAAATCTTACAATTTTCATTCAATTCAATTAAAGATGATTTGGCAGATTTTAATACTTACAACTATAGAGGCTGTTACAAATTCACTTCTCACTACAGGGAACACGAAAATGGTAAGAGATATAAACTAGCTTAAATGGGGGCAAACTTACGTAATCAGGGGACCAACATTATGCCTCTAAAAAATCAAGGCTAACATGATTAGTTTTCCAAAATATTTGAAAAAACCCGAAATTTTGGAAATGCGTTTTTGTTTCATTTCAGTTGTTTGAGGTGTTATTGATAAAAGAAGAACACTTTCTCGTGCTCTATCGAATGGCACAATCAATTATATGTAACGTTTCGTCTTTCCAGGACCATCATCAACTTCATTTTTTTAAATACGACCATGAAAATTTTATTACATTTTTTGCAAGCCTTCATGACCCCCAATACTGTACTGCCTCAGCCTGAACCAGATTCAGACGTTTTGTCTCGAAAAATTCATCTTGTATTCATGTATTCATTCCAAATGTCTCAAATTTTTTATTTAGATTTCTATGTTTATTGAATTATCGTACACTCTAAATGTCGTTAGACCCTGTGAAATCCATCTAGTTATTTAAACTATTGCCATCACACATTACAATAAAACATTATTAGAGTTTTATTCCCGTACCCATAGTTATTTCTAAGCTTCTCGAGTGCTCAAACAAATTCCAACCTATTTTTTTTTTTCAGGATATTTGTACAAATACATCTGATATGCTCTTTTACTGTTGCGGTTATAGGTATAATAAATTCCGATAATATTACCTTGATCTTCATTTTCAACATTTGCCAAAACGAAAATGTTTTTGAACATTTGCTGAAATTTTTTAAAGAATAATATTCAGTTGGCGTTTTGGTTGTTCATATGCATTTTTAAGAATTAATTTGTCATAATAAAATTAAAATTGTAATAATTTTTAAGTTTAACACAACAACTTATCGAATTATGTATGTACGACCAAGTGATGGTAATAGTTTAAATGGATTTAACACGGTCTAACGACACTTACAGTGTACAATAATTCAATAAATGAAGAAATCTGAATAAAAAATTTAAATAAGTTTGGAATGAGTACACTGAAGATGAATTTTTAGAGAATTTGGTTCGGTCTGAGGCAGTACATTATTGGGAGTCATGAAGGCTTGCAGAAAATGTAATAAAATTTCCAGGATCGTATTTAAAATGTATTTAAATGAAGTTGATGATGGTCCTGGAAAGACAAAACGTTAAAATTGATTCAATAGAGGACAAAAAGTGGCCATGAGTAAGTGTTCTTCGTTTTTCAATATCACCTCAAACAAGACTGAAATTAAACAAAAACGAATTTCCAAAATTCATTTTTTTTCAAATATTTCGAAAACTAATCATGTTAGCCTTGATTCTTTAGAGGCATAATGTTGGTCCCCTGATTACGCAACTTTGCCCCATTTAAGCTGCTTCGTATCTATTACCGTTTCCGAGATTCCTGGAGTGCGAAGCGAATTTGTAACAGCCTATATAAGCAAATTTTTTTTATTTTCTAATTGTTCAGTTATTTTTTATACTTGCCTCAAAACATTAATTCGGATTTTTCTCTAAAACGGTTAATGTAATCGAAGAGTATGTTTTTGTAAAATATTTTAATAAATTTAGTACTAGTCCAATTAAAAAAAAATCACAGTAAGGATTAATTTTATAACAAATAAGGGCTATTTAACCTCTTTAGGCCTTAATGAATTTGATATATATTTTTTTCACTGATGTGGTTTATGGTCAATATACCAAATTTGAAAACAATTGTTTAACTGAAAAAAAAAGATATCAAGATATTAAAAATAATAATAATAAATTTCAAGTTATCTAATTTCATTAATACAGAATTTTTGAAAGAGTGCTGTTAATTAAGTTGTGTTATTTTTGTGATTTGAATCATCTAAAATTTTAATATTTATTTTTGGAACATCTTGTATTGAAAGAAAACATTTAATTTCTCAGAATTTATGCAACCAACAAAACACAAAATGTGTTTTGCTAGTTGTATATCTTAAGTATAATTTCTTTTTTTTTTAATATTATTAATACCAGTCGAGTTTTAAATTCTGATCTTAACAGATAAACCCTGATCGCCTACGTGAAACCATTCACATGCACCTACAGAATGACGCATTGGAAAATTACAATGACAATTTCAATGCGTCCATACGACGATACAAACGAAAAAGTTTCATGTAATGCGACCCACTGTACGCGGCTCGGAAAATATTCAAAGAGAGACTCCTTTTAGGCAACCGCTGTGAAAAACAATTGAACATTGGAAATCTGAGCCGCGCTCAACGGTCCTCCGCCACCGACCCGGGCCTATGCAGCGATCGTCGTCATATTGGAAGAGACTTCGAACTGAACCAATCTGATTGACACAGTACTTTTCCAAAAAAAATTGATAGAATTTCTCATTATAATATATAAATGTATAGAACGATGATTTTTTTTGTTTTTGGCATTACCTGATCCAATCTTGACGAGCCCATTGTGTTGTATAAAAATGGTATCACAGGTCAGATTGCCGTGGATGATTGGCGGTGAACAGGAATGCAAGTAACTGGAAATAAAACAAACAGACTGCATTCATAGAACTTCGACGACAGTGTTGCCAGACTGTGTGTATAGATGGGTGGCTGGGGTGGGGATTTTTCGTCGGGGGAAGTTAGGATACAACTCTATACTCTGAGGACATAAAAAAAAGTTGGATTTGGGAACGATCGTGACTCTTCTGACAGACACACACACAGGACACAAGTGCCACACTTGCAAAAAAAATCACAACCAAGATTCAAAGGACGTGTGGAAGAGGAGGCAGTGTAATAAGTGTTCTTGAAAAAAAAAAAAAAAAACTTTAATAGCTACTGTTTTAGTGGGGAATCACGAATTCTTAGATTTTTACGAGTGATCAAAAGTAAAAACAGTAGAGACAAATAAAAAACTGACGAATTGATATTGAGAGATATTTTTTTGCAAATGTGACTTTCTATTCTTACTTAAATGTAAAAGACAGACAAAAAAAAAACAAGAAGTAAAAATAATATGTGATATAACAAAAAGGAAATAGAATCTATTAAAACTAAAACGATAAAAAAAATTGTGCAATAACATTTCTAATTACCGTTACTGGTTAAATGTCACAGTCGAATAATTTCAATTTAAACTACTGAAGAAATACTCACGTGAAGATTTTTTTTTTGTATTTTTTATGGTTTTTAACTTTTTGTCAGTAAAATTCGTTGGACAAAGATCAGTTTTTATTCACATTTTGGAACTGTTAGAACCGGTAAGAGGAATTTGTAGCACTCGAGTGTGAAGGAAGTCACAAAAAATAGAAAACGGGATAGAGGGACAAACCAAATGGAGCTTTTCCGATCTGGCAACGCTGCTTGACGAACTCCGGCCGATCTCATCGCTGCAAACTGCTGAACAAAACGTTGAATTTTCGTGCCTATCCGTACATCAGTCAATGTTCCGGATCTACGATTCTACCACCGCGGATTTGACTCGACTTTGTTATCCGTTACATTCGAAATGCTCGAGGTGCCAAAACACAGCATTCCTGTCGAGATTTTGGGATGCAACGGATAAACTTATACAGACAGAATAAAGGAGCAAACTATCGGTTGTGTTGGACAAGTTTTTACGTTGAACTGGCAAAAAAATCTCCGATTTGTCCTTGATTTTTGAAAAAAACATCATTAATCGTCATATACAGACTCACACTTACCTTTGCGCTGACACTGTGAACACATGGATTAACAATAATACGAGACATACAGGGGCAAATACTAAGAGTAACATCGGCCACAATAATTCATTTACATACTTACAAAAAATCTGATTATTGTGGACGATAAGGGTGTTTATCATAATTATCATATAAAAAAGGCATCTTACATACTACGCAAAATATAAAAGTCAGTATAAATAGTATCGATAATAGTACTCTTAACCTAAAGATGACAATTTTTTACTTTTGTTGTCACCATCGAGCTATATTTACCTCAATGCTGAGAGGATTTGGGTGCACCACCTCCTCCACGCTTGTAGAGGTAGCCTCTTCACGTTTCGCTTGGTACGCTTTAGGAACTGCTTCAGGGAACCGGAGGACATGTATTCTGTTATGAAGATGACCTGAAAAAACCAATATGTTCTTCAGTATTCAAGATTCAACACCACAACACACAGTTGTATTGTGTGTTGCTGCACTTGTCATGGCCATTTTTTCATCATAAGTACAGAGCCTTCATAAATGATCACAAGCCTCGTGAATAGTAATTTTATTTTCTTCATTTTTGCAATTAAATTTCGGTAAAATTAAAAATTATTAAAACAAGATCAAGATTACATTAAAACACAATGTTCTGTTCCATCGGCTGTGATTGATGTAATTTTTCACGAGCTTCTATTCAAACAGTATTATCTCGACCATAGTAGTAAAGGTTTGTTACTGTTCATTGTAAACGAATCATTACTAATGGTGACGGCAAGATTCAGTCATTTTTCGTTACCAGTACCAGTCATTGGTTGCCTAAGCTCTACAGTCAAGCGGCTTGTAAACATTTATGAATGTATGTTGGAAATAGTAAAAATGCTTACCCTAGGTTTGTCATTGAGTGTATCAGCCCAATACTTGTGGAACTTAACGATGTTGGGGTGCTCGAGTTGGGTGAGATTTTCGAAAATAAGCTGGATCTTCTCCTCCTGGTTCTTAAAATTTTTTCGTTCGGAGAACTGGACCTCGTTCCAGACGACTTCGACCCCCTCCTCGGTATCCATGGCCAAGTAGGCGCAGTCGATCCCTGGTACATCCCTTTGTTCAACCTAAAACCAAGAAAGTTATCAGCCTCCAGTAATACTTAAGTAAAAACGATTGTTATTATTTAATAATCATAAATTTTTAAATCTTCAAATGCGTAAAATGTAAAACCGATTTTTTTTGTAGTCAAATCGTGTGACGCCAAACCCGCGACATGTCGCTTAGTGTAATTCTACCTTAACAGGTCCAAGAAGACTCCACTCGCTTATAGCCTACGTTGGCTTTGAAAATACATTATTCAAATGCATACAATCGATAATTAAAATATCGAATCTCCCATTACCGAGTAAGCCTATTCAAATTTATTTAAAGGATGTATAAAACTATTCCCACGTGTACAATGACGCACGTCCGAGTTGTATCGTCTGGCCGGGATACACATACGCATAATATTGATATTTCTGTATTGTATGTATGTTATATAAAAATAAATACACATCCACTGGGAGCCACATGCTGTTCCTTATCCAGTAATTCCAAACAATGCAACGTGGCGTAAATTAAATTCATTTGTTTATTAATGCGACGCCCGAAATTATAAGCTTCATACTATACATATAATCTAAAGCAAGTTCCAAATCCTTCGCGTACGACATTCGCAATAGGTTGACGGTAAATTTAAAAAGAACAAAGAAATAAAATAAATGCGAATAATAAGAACTAAAATTAGTTGGTAGCAGTTAATCAAAGTAAAAAGAATTGACGAGTGCCGTGTATACAGGGTGTTTTTGAATGGAGTAGCATAAATGATACCAGTGAATCTACATTTCAAAAGAACACGATCTGCAAAAAATCGCCTTAGTAAAATGTTCACCCCTGAAGAGATATGGGCCATCAAAGTTTCCAAAAAAATTATGAAAATTGGCTGTAATTTGAAAACCGAACGAGGTACAAATAACAAATTTTTTACAGGTTGTTTACTAATACAGATGCGAGTTTTCAACTATTTTTCGAAAATTTTAACCCCTCGAAAGGGGTTGAAATAACCACCCCTCAAGCCATTTTTTGCCATAACTTTTATATTTCGTAAAAACTCGATATCCAAAAATACGCATTAGATAAACTGGTTCTTTTAGAAACTTTTACCTCTCTAGCAATTTTCCTTTAAAACTTTTCGTTTATTAATAAAAAAATAAAATGTATTACCATTCACCTCACACCGTATATGATTGCAATCAATCAAAGAAAAACTAAGTGTGCTGCTGTCATGCCAGTTGTCACAATTAACTCTTCTGTAAGTTGTCACTGTTATCAGCTAAATACTTTTTGGGTGTAAATTAACAAGAATTATGCCAAATTTTACTAATGATGAATATGTGGACATGCTACAAGTGTTTTTTTCTACGATCGTGCAAAATTTACTACTTATTGCACTACCTACTGTGCCAAAAGTTTAACTTTTTTTACAGTAGTACAAAAAAAATATTGATTACAAGTTTAATCTAAGCATATCCATAAGTACCTAACGTCTGACATTGACAATTTGCGCAATTAATTTCCAGTTGTCAGTTAAAATTTTAATATTATGTAAAATACTGTTAAATAAAATTTGAAATAAAAACAATCGTAGAAAAAATGTTGCGTGCAACATGTGCAAAAAGCATATTTGTTGCACTTAACATGATTGCAGCTCTCAACTTCGTCTCGAGCTGCAAACTTCATGCATCGTACAACAAATACACACTCTTTACAGTAGTTGCACAAATAACTGTTTGAATGTCGCAGAAACTTTTATTAAATAGAAGTACAATGAAAACGAAACTAAGAAATAATTTATTATCAAAAAGAGAAAAAACAAAAAACTTAGTTAAAGGACATTTTCAAAATAATTGCCATTTCTTTCTAAACACAACCTAACACGTTTATCAAAGTTGTTACGGACTCGAGCAAAAATTATGGGATTGTTGCGAATCTCATCAGCCGCCGCGAATATTCTTTCCTGTAGCTCTTCAACACTGTCAACTGGGGTCGCATAAACAATACTTTTTATATGTCCCCAAAAGAAAAAATCCATGGGCGTTAGATCGGGAGAACGTGCAGGCCAAGAGATAGGTGCCTCATTGCCGCGACCTATCCAACGATTCGGGTAATTTAAATTAAGCCACCGCCTAACTACTACAGTGCTGTGAGCAGGAGCCCCGTCATGCATGTACCACATGGCCTGACGTACATTTAATGGTACTTCCTCCAGAAGTGGTGGTAGATGCTCATTTAAGAACTGCAAATATTCAACAGCACCAAGTCGATGAGGTAAAACAAAAGGGCCGACAAGCACATTTTCTACAATTCCTGCCCAAATGTTTAAACTAAAATTATGTTGAAATGTTGTCATAGATACTTCGTGAGGATTTTCATGAGCCCAGGAATGAAGATTGTGCATATTGGTTAAACCATGTCTTTGAAAAGTTGCTTCATCTGTGAAAAGTATCTTTGAGGCAAAATTCAAATTATTTCTTAGAATATTAAGATACGATTCGCAAAAAACAACTCGCTTATGCATGTCTGGTTCAAGTAGAGCTTGAACTGGCCGGTGGTGAAAAGGATATAATAAATTATCATGGACAATATTCCAAACAACACTATGGGACACATTTAAGTGCATTGCTGTTTTTCTCGTACTAGTCTGACGATTTTCGTCAAACTCTTCAAGTACTGCATCCTCAAGATAAATAGTACGAACAGTAGGTCTTCGGCCGGTACCCTCAATATGCGGCTGTATTTTTCCAGTTTCCCGAAGTCTTCGTTCTACCGCCGAAAAAGTTTGTCTGTGGGGAACTTGACGATTTGGATATCTCTCATTATACGCTCTTGTTGCCGCAGCACAGTTTTTGCGACATTCAAAATACACTTGTAGCATGTCCACATATTCATCATTAGTAAAATTTGGCATAATTCTTGTTAATTTACACCCAAAAAGTATTTAGCTGATAACAGTGACAACTTACAGAAGAGTTAATTGTGACAACTGGCATGACAGCAGCACACTTAGTTTTTCTTTGATTGATTGCAATCATATACGGTGTGAGGTGAATGGTAATACATTTTATTTTTTTATTAATAAACGAAAAGTTTTAAAGGAAAATTGCTAGAGAGGTAAAAGTTTCTAAAAGAACCAGTTTATCTAATGCGTATTTTTGGATATCGAGTTTTTACGAAATATAAAAGTTATGGCAAAAAATGGCTTGAGGGGTGGTTATTTCAACCCCTTTCGAGGGGTTAAAATTTTCGAAAAACAGTTGAAAACTCGCATCTGTATTAGTAAACAACCTGTAAAAAATTTGTTATTTGTACCTCGTTCGGTTTTCAAATTACAGCCAATTTTCATAATTTTTTTGGAAACTTTGATGGCCCATATCTTTTCAGGGGTGAACATTTTACTAAGGCGATTTTTTGCAGATCGTGTTCTTTCGAAATGTAGATTCACTCGTATCATTTATGCTACTTCATTCAAAAACACCCTGTATATTATTTCACAAAGGGGACACAGATACATTGCTTGTACGTAGGCAAATGCATTGAAGAGAAAATTTAGCCGCCCGGTATTCCGGTACGAAGGAACATATTTTCGTTAATATTTTAGAACTAGACGAATGCCTGAAAGGTTTGCAAACTTCGATAAATACTATAAATGTTTCTTATATGTGGAAATCCTCTAGAAACGTTCATTCGGGTTGCAAGTAGCAAGCAACGATTGTAAGCAACGCGAACGATTGGAAACTTATGTGAAATGTAGGGGGTGTCAACTGATATTCGCTGAAACGAACTTTAATAAATTTTAATAAATATGTCAACGATATAAAGACAGGGTATAAAGACTGAAGGATCGCCAATATTGCAGGAAATAATTTTTCCTGCAAAGATGCATATAGACATATGCACCTGAAAGAAAAGAACTTCTTTTTTATTGGCCACAAAACAGGCTTTTTTTATTAAACAACCAAAAACAAGAATTGCAAGTTTACATTCAGATTCTAGACAGAAATGAATCAGAAACTATAGAAATATTTAATGTACTACAAATACATGTTAATGAAAAATAAATACAATTCATTTAAATGTTCAATTTATTCAACACTATTAAAAATCGTTATAATTGCATTTATAGCGCACATAAAACGGTCGCAATTCATATGCCATGTCAATATATGAGGTATGTTTACAACACCATGTGCAACCATGCATTAGAATTAACTGTCAATTAAACTTAAATCGAATGAAACGAACACCTGCTTTCTCTGCAGCGATCTGACCGTTCAGAATGCACTTCACAGAAAAATCACGACAGGAAATGCACAATGATCCACTATGCGACTCCGGCCTGTTACCGATAGAAATTTCATGCTGCTAATAGGAACCTTTCCACGTTTTTTTTTATAATGAATTATTTTATAGCCTTTTTATTTTTGTGGAAAATAACACGAACAAAACATTTCATTTTGATGATGTAGGTACTTACTATTTGTGAGTTTGTGCATTTTTTTGGCAGCTATAAGGGCAATTACAGAATCGATTATATGCTTTTGATGAATATAAAACCTCCAATTTAGGATTCATAAATAGTGCGTTGGAGTTTCGTTGCAATTAAATTCAGTGTACTGCAAATGCAGATTTACATTTTTACATAATTGCTCACAAAAGTGAATAATTCCGACCACGTCTACTACTACTAGATGGCTCTTGCACAAAGTTCCTTCTAGTCAGTGCTGCCAGCTCATGAGTTCGATTTACGGAAACGGCTTCTCGAATAGGAAAATTGTTAGAAATCTTGAATTCATTTTATGTGGGAGAAAATAAAATATATATATTTAAAGAAAAGTTTAAAGTTAATTTTATGATTCCCGTAAATGGTTCAATTTAAAACATATTCCGTCTCTGTACGGTGCCCATATGGCATATGTTCTGTTTTCTCGCCTGTAGCCGACGGGTGTCTCGCGCTGCACATAAAACTGCCGGCATCTCGGAAGAAGCTGTACGGACAAT